GTCAAATCAAGCCTCTTACCAGAGTCATTTTATTCGACCAACAAACTTCCACGCTTTGCAGACTACCCCAAAAATATTGCCGGTCAAAGGCAATAAATAAACTGTGGAGATCGGGATTCGGGTCAGAAGAATCGAGGTCGCGTGCAAGTTCTAAGTGTGAATTGGCGTTAACATAAATTCTCAACCGTCAAAAATGGAGAAATGTGTTGATGCAGAATTTCACTACTGTTTTCGGGGACATTTGAAAGTTGGTTCGATGAATTATTTTCTTCTTCTTGCAACTTTAGCGCCAAGGCTAAAGAGGCGTCGTCGTCATTGAATTCCATGGTTGATCACTCGAGATTTCAGTGCACGTATCAAGTTATAAGAAAAAATCAATACAATATAACATGGTTAGAATCTCCAATTTATTAACTTATAAATAGAACTATTGGTTTTTTTTTTAAAAACTAATTCCTATTTAAAGAAAATATCAACTTTCCAAGTTTATCTTTAAAATCTACAATTTTTGGAATTTATTATTTTGGGGGTGCGCATTTGGACTGATTATCATACGCACCCTAACGTACGCTGTATTTTTTCGTGCATTATGACCGAAGCAATTATACGTTTGTGTTGCTACATTATTAGAGACGATTTTGGTGCGATTGTCGAAGTAAGCGCATGAATACTCCCCGATCCATCTCGTTCGACTTATGATGTCACATTCTAAAACGTTGCAACGGATATAAAATAGCAAGTGGTGAAAGTTCTTCTACAAAAAGGTCGACTTCCATTGCCGTTGATAGCGAGATTCGCCAAGTACACTTTGTCCAAAACACGCGAATGTCTTTTTATACTAATACAGCACAACATAGTATACTGGACTGAATCAAGAGAAGGTGCTCGAATTGGAATCTATTATTCCATTGGGAAATATGAAATTCTGTCAAGGTTGAACTTTGGTATCTATATTAAAAACGCCAATGAATGGGTTGGCTGTAGGGTAATTGCTGTTCTCTTTTCGAGAGAGTTTGGTCTAGCTGGTTATACTGATGTTGTGATCTTTCTTTTAGGGTGCGACCGAAATTATTAGGCTTATGTTGCTTAATGGCAAAACGACCTTCAAAGGACTTGTTGAAAAAGATTTGAGAATTTCTAGGAGAACGAGTAGTAGTGAGTACACCTTGCTGGTGGTTCGAGCAAGAATTTCACTGCGTGCTGAATTTAACTATAACTTTAGAATTTA